AATGATCTTGAAAGAAGAAGTACACGCTACACTGAAGGCATTGCTGTTGCAGCACTGGGGCACTCATTCAATTATGTCCCTGAATTTGGAAGACAGCTACCTGCCTAACTGACTGGAAGAGATCCATAAATTTGCCTATCCCAAAGAGAGGTCACCCAACAGAATGTGGATATTTTTGAACAATATCATTAATATCATATGCAAGTAAAATTTTACTCAAGATAATTTAAAAAGACCTGCAACGTTACATTGACAAGGAATTTTCGGAGATGCAAGTTGGATTCAAATGAGGATATGTAATGAATATCATAGCTGACTTCAGCTGGATGTTGGATAAAAGCAGAGAATACCAGAAATATGTTTACCTGTGCTTTATTGACTATGCCAAAGCTTTTGACTGTGTGGTTCATGACAAGGTATAGACCACATTAAGGAGTATGAGTATTATGGAACATTTAGTTGTGCTCCTGAGGAACTTGTATAAGACCAGCTGCAGTCATTTAAACAAAACAAAGGGACACTGATTTAAAATAAGGAAAGGTGTGTGCCAATGTTGTATTCTCTCACCATACTTATTCAATTTGTATGCTGAGCAAAGAATTCATGAAGTTGGATTTTTTGAAGAACTTTGCGGTATACCCATTAGAGCCTGTGATATGCAGATGATACAACCTTACTTGCTGAAAACCAAGAGGACTTAACATACTGATGAAGATCAAAGACCACATCCTTAGGTATGGGTTGCACCTCAATGTAAAGAAAACAAAAATCCTCACCACCAGGCCAATGAATATCATACATGTAAATGGAGAAAAGATTGAAGTTGTCAAAGCCTTCATTTTGTTTATATTTTGTTTATATGAAGGTTGGATCCCCACCATCAACACTCCTGGAAGTAGCAGTCAAGAAATCAAATGATGTATTAGGCAAATCTGCTGCACAAGACCTATTTAAAATTTTCAATAGTAAAGACGCCAGTTTGAAGACTAAAATGTACCTAACCCATGCTATGATATTTTCAATACCTCAATTGCATGTGAAAGTTGAACAATGAAGGACAGTGTTGGAGAAGAGTATTAAAGGCACCATGGACCACCAGAAGAACAAACGAGAATGTTCCTTAGAAACCATTTTGACCAGATTTCATCTCTCATACTTTGGACATATTGTCAGGAGGGACTACTGACCCTGGAGAAGGACATCATGCTTGGTAAAGTGGAGGGACAGCAAAATAGAGGGAGACCCCCTACAAAATGGATTGTCACAGTGGCAAAAGCAATGGGCTCAAGCTTAATAATGATTGTGAGGATGGCTTATGACTAGGCAGTGTTTCATTCTGTTGTGCATATGGTTGCTAAGAATTTAAATTGAATCAAGGGCACCTAACAACAACAGTCCATGGTATATTTAATATTTTTTCAGCACCACAATTCAAAGGCAGCAATATTAATGATTACCAAAAAGGTCGAAGGAAATGGGATTGAGTTTCTCTTTTATGTGGTAAAGGATTTTTGGATATAGATAAAGGTGATGGTTGCTCAACATGATAGTTGTAATTAATGTCACACTTAAAATAGTTAAGTTCCTTTTATATATATTTTGACTCAGTAGATAAATAAGGCAAATGGCAAAGCAAGGTGGTTATAAAAGTACAATGGAATTGAATTGCATTGGTAAGTCAAAGTTAAAGCACTTGGAAAAAACCTCAATAACAAGAACTTACTGGAAATCAAGAATATGGAAAATAGATATTTGAATATATATCCTCAAATTTGAAAAAATTAAATATCTCCAGGAAATATGAGTAGTTAAACACACATCTTTATCGATACACTTCCAAAGATTCCAATTACATATATTAAAGAAATATAAAAAATGTCATCTCTGAAGTACAACTGATATGGAAAAAAGATAATAACTGCTGAGAGACATTAGTTAAATGTTGGTGGATGACAAGGAGAGGACAGTTTATAGCTAATCTAATATTGGATAATGGTAATAGCACATCTATGTAAATGCATTTAAATGAGTTGAATCATGCGTCTGAATTTGTACATTTTACGATATGTAAATAATACAGCTCTGGTAGCATAGCGGTTCGAAACTACCAGCTGCTCCATGGAAGAAAGATGAGGCTTTCTACTCCTGTAAAGATTTACACCCTCGGAAACCCTGTACAGGGTCGCTATGGGTCGGAACTGACTCGATGGCACTTAACAGCAACAACAAATAATACATTAATAAAAGTGTTAAATCAGAAATTCTATATTGAAACATAACATATATATAAGAATGTAAACAAATGATATATCCTACTGCTGAATTTTCCCAAAATGAATATAAGTATGTGGCCATATAAGTATGTAAGTATGTGCAGATCATTGTTATAAACATTATTTTATATTCTGTTCTTGACAGGTTATGCTAAACCAAAGTTTTCAGTTTTTATGTACACATTAATATGTAATTTTCAATCATTAGAAAATACCAGTATCACCAGTATTTCCACTAACAAGTATAAACTGTACCTCCTTAACATATTTATTATCTTGACTTTTAGCACAACATATTAGTCTTCCCAGTTTTGGGTCTCAGATAGAATCATATACATTGTGCTTTCTTCTAATTGATTCCTTTTTCTGTCAACTTTATAATTGTGATATTCATCCATATTTTGTACATTCGAACGAGTGGTACATTTTCACTATTGTATGACTTGTTATCATTTCTTTATCCATCGATAGCTATTTGTGCTATAAAGAATAGTTATTCTATGAATAATTTGAATTTTTAATTGCTACACTAATACATGCATTTCTTATTGGTATATTTTTAATAGCAAAATTGCTAATTACAGGTATGCATATCCTCAGCATTAGTAATATTTCAAAGTGCTTATCCCAATTTGGAGCCTTGGTGTGGTACTATGAGTTAATGCATTGGACAGCAAAGTCAATTTCATCTGGATGGTCAGCAGCTCAAAAGCTGCTCCTCAGAAACTCTATACAGGATCAGTATGGGTCAGAACCAACCCGACAACACTTAACAACAACAACAACAACAAACCCAATCTAAACTCCCAACAATAGTTTTGATTTGTATTCTCCAGGAAAGTAATAAAATTGAATACCTTATTAGGTATTAACTAGATGTTTGTAAATCTTTGATGTCATAAATTACTATTAAAATCCTTTGCCTGTTTTTTTCAGTTTGCTTACTGTTATTGATTGAAAACAGTTCTTTTTTCAGTAAACATAAATATATTCTCCCAATTCATAACATGTTTTTAATTCTGTTCATGGCAGGTTATGATAAACAGAAGGTCTCAATTTTTATGTAGTCATATTCATATATAATATTCTTTATGGTTTCTGCTTTGATTTGACCATGTTTGAGAAATCTTTATTACTCAAAAGTCATAATTTCTATTTGAGTTTGATTAATGGCAGAGCCAACTCCTAAGTAATCCATCTGTCGGGGTCTTGCCTCCACAGAAGAGTGGGTTGCACGAAGTTGGGAGATCTAATAGGCGAAAGATATAGCATAGAGACAAAGAGACAATACAGACACAAAGAAACAGACACACACGTTTGATGCAAGCTGAAAGGCAGGCTGGTCTGCAAACATTGCCTTGCATTGCATTGCCTTGCATTGCATGCAGCACTCACTCTACCTCAGTCTTTTATTTTCTTTCTTCAGGGAGGGATTTTTCACAAAGGGAGGATGTGATTATTCAGATAAGATTGAATACAGAACTGAAATGTGATTAATCATTCAAAACAGGACATAATAATTCACAGGAACAAATTTTAAAATATATATCACAATTGTCTAAAGGATACTTAACATACTTTTAGCACTTAATTTCTAATGGGTAAAGGTGAAAAAGATTTAAAAGGTCATAGAAGGTTTAAAGTAAGGTTTTGAAGGGATCCAAAATGTCTTTGTATACTTTGCAAACAAAAGCTCACGCTTTTGTTTGTGAGCAAGATCTCAAATACCTGACTTCATTTATCAACTAATAATTCTTTCTTCTTTACTCTTACAATTTCAGGGAAGATGAGAGACAAGTCTCAACCTTTCTAAGAAGGTGAGGTCTCGCTTCCACATTCCTTTTCTTCTTTCCGGATTCTACATCTAAATGCTACATCACATTTCCCTATACTTCCAGGAGGAAGGGGAGCATCTGGGTTATATACCCAGAGGTGGTGTGAGGGGGCTGCCACTATTGTCCTCTAATCAATACTCCTGGAATTTACCAATCTACTTTATTTACAAACCTTGAGTAAAAAACCTTTTTTCTCATACTCCCAATATACCTGTTCCTGGCCTTTCTGAGTCCTCTGAGGAGACTTTTTACTATCTCGGCTTTAGAGGGGTTTTGGTCCCATTGTTGTATATGGACATCAAAGGCTCATGCTTTAGGTTAATATCAAGATGCAGTTCTGACATGCATCCCAGGTGACTATTGCTTGTTCCTCAAAAAGATTTGTTCCCAGGACCCTACGCACTGCCAACACAGTGGAGACATTAAGAGAGGCACATAAGAAACCATTTTCTCAGAAGCTACAATTATTGGAGTTAGAAGCATAGAATGAACAATAAGACCAAAGAAAATTATACAGAGGTAGCCCACCAGTGAGTTCGCAAAAACCTATGAACCCAGGACTTCAGGGGGTCACTTCCTATTATTATCCATTTTGTAGATGACGAAACTGGTACTGAGTAAGGTATGTTAGTTTCCCAAAACAGCACAACTAATACAGTGATGGCAGACATCAGGTATGTCTGATTCCAAATTATGCTCCAAAGTCCAGGCCATTTTAGAGTCTAATTCCCAGCTCGCATTTGAAACTTCTTGCTTTTGTTTATCATTGTATCATTAGTACTTGCTGCTGTTCAACAAATATTTTTTTTTGGATTATTAAATCAAGAAAAATTAATATTAATCACTTTTCTAAGACAGAGCTGTAATTAAAAAATCAATTTCTTTGTTGCAGATAAAGAAAGACCTAGGTCTAGAAAAGTAACAGAAAATGGAAGAGGGAAACGCTATTCATACAAATTACCTCAAGAATACAACATAGAGACTGTAGTGGTTGCTGACCCAGCAGTGGTTTCTTATCATGGAGCAGATGCAGCAAGGAGATTCATTCTAACCATCTTAAATATGGTAGGCAAACTTTAAAGTGCGCTTGGAATGTTTTCAAGAAAACTCTAAGGAAGAAATGTGTGAGTATTTATAATGAAGTTTTTAAAAAATGATAGCATTACTATTTCTTTCCTTTTTTGTCATCAGTAAAAAATACCTTGGGTATGCTCAATTGATCCCTCTCTAAAATGATATCAAATAATCTAATGTAAAAAAAACCCCCAAAAACCCTAATAATTCATCTTAATGTTTTAATACTCTGTGTTAACCATTTTTGTGTGTGTGTCTCTGTTTTATTCTTTTTATAAAAGCCCATTTATTTAAATTAGCAGAAATAGACTCTTCAGTGTTTATAGAATATTCAGTGTTTACAGAATAGCCAGTGTTTACAGAGTCACTATAGATAAATTTATGGCATGCAAAAATTATGGAGATTGGTGGTATAGAGATTTCTCATATAGATTTATAAAATTTGGTATCGGATTGATGATGTCAAACTAGTATCTCATAACTAAATTTCTAACCAGCTGAATCACATATAGCTACTTTCAGGAGATAGTTTTAAACTGCAGAAATCTAGTTTGTTCTTATGAATGGTAACTACCAAATTAATACGTGCTTTAGTTGCATACTCTGTTGGGTAAACCTCCTCCAAGACAAAATTAGAAAGTTACTTTGAGTAGGGAGTTTTAAGCAGTAATAAGTATGGTTCATATGTCCAGTTACCAAATAAAGAAAGGTAAGTCACTGATTCGAAAATAAGCTTTATATCGTTCCCATTTTTGTTATTTTGTCTGTCATTTTGTTGTTTTTCCAGTAGGCTGAATTTCCCACACTTCAGGCATTTCTGTTCAAATTCAGCTACCAACTTAACATTCCATGCATTTTTAATACCCTAACAACTTTAGTCTATTTCTGAATTCATTGGTTTGGTGTGCCACTTGCATATTTTCTAATACAAATAAAATAAATACTAAATTCTTAAAGTCAAGTAACACATACACAATTGACGTTGATTTTCAATATTGCTAAAAATTGCACATTTTAGAGGAAAAAAATCATAATGACAATCTAAAACCTTTCATCAACACTGACCTGTGAGCTTGTCTCCATGGGCAGCCTTGAAGAGTGGCGCTTTGAATACCTTGTTACTATTTGGCAACCAGCCTCGAGAGTGAAAAAAAGAACAAAAATCAGAAACACTAAGGAATTAATTGGGAGGTGGTAGAATTTCTTCTTAAAAACAAAGAAAAAGTCTACTACTTAGTTACTAAAAATTCCTATAGCCTATAAATGTGAGGAGTCCTGGTGTGGCGCTGTGGGATAATGCGCCAGACTGTAAAGCCGTTTGAACTGCAAGGTCGGTGGTTCAAGCTCACCAGGTGCTCCTTGGAAATCCTATACAGAGTCTCTATGGGTCGGAATCGACTCGACAGCACTTAACAACAACAACACATATTGTGAAGGAGAGCAGGCGTGGCTCTACAGGATAAGCTCTGGACCGCTAGGTCGTTTGAATTGCAACTTATCAGCTGCTCTTTAGAAGCCCTAGAAAAGAACACTATACATCAGAACTGACTCGATGGCACTTAACACCAACAATATTGTGGAAGGTCCAACATTACATTCCCAACTCACTGAAATGCCTACATTAACAAAGTTTCAGTAAGTATCTTACAGAAAGCTAGTCTGAATTTTCTCAATATCTACAGTAATTATCTTTGTTGTTGTTGTTGTTATTAGGTGCCAGTGAGTCGGTACCGAATCATAGTGACCCTATGCACAGCAGAACGAAACACTGCTCAATCCTGGGCTAACCTCACTATTGTTGCCACGCTTGAGTCGATCAATGCTGCCACCTGGCCAATCCATCTCATTAGCGTCTTCCTCTTTTTCTCTGAGCCTCCACCTTACCAAACATGATATCCTTCTCCAGCGACTGGTCCCTCCTGACAATATGTCTGAAGTATGAGAGACGAAGTTTGGCCATCCTGGCCTTCAAGGAGCAGTCTGGCTGCACTTCTTCCAACACGGATCTGTAGGTTCTTTTAGCAGTCTATGGTATTTTCAGTATTCTCCAACACCGTAACTCAAATGTGTCAATTCTTCTACGCATGCATATGAGGTTATTGAAAATACCATGGCTTGGGTCAGGCTCACCTTAGTCCTCAAGCTGACATCTTTGCTCTTCAACATTTTTAAAAGGTCTTGTGTGGCAGATTTGCCTAATGCAATACATCGTTTGACAGAATACTAAATTGAATTTTCTTAATCTCTAATATGAATGACCTAAGCTATTATTATTAAGATAATTTTTAAATAACTTAAATGATTTCTTTGATAGGTTTTCACAAAAAAGTAAGACTTCTTCCATATTTGGGTTTTAAGAAAAATTAAAATGTTTTTCCATTTCATTTTAGAATGTTTATTTTTATTTGTTTTTAGGTCTTTAACCTTTTCCAACACAAGAGTCTTGGTGTGCAAGTCAATATTCGAGTGATAAAGCTTATTCTACTCCATGAAACTCCAGTAAGAAAGTATTGAGTTTTTTATTCTGTCACATGGGTAAGACACGGTATTCAGGCATTTTTAAATAAAGGGAATGTTTTTGTTGTTATAGTTGTTAAGTATTGTTGAGTTGGTACTGACTCATAGAAATCCTGTATAGAGGTTTTGAGGCTGTAACTCATTGTGGGAGAAAAATGTCTCATCTTTCTGTAACAGAATGGCTGGTGGGCTCCAATTGCTGACCTTGTGGTTCAGTCCAATGCTCATCCTACAGAGACACTGTGTTCTATAGGGAGCATTAAGGACGTGCTTTTTAATTACTTAAAAATCAGAAACCTCCACTGAATAATTAGGCTATACATAAATCTGGTCTTCAGTTTTCGTTAATAATAATACCTCAATTTTATTCCAAAAATGGAATGTATTCAGTTTCCAGAGCTCCTGATGACAAACCCTAAATTTCCAAAGTATAATTTTGACAGTTCTAATGACAGTTTAATTTTCTATTTAAGCATGCCCTTTAAAATTTTTCTGCTATCTGTAATTTATTTTAAATGTAGAATATTATAATAATAATAGTATTACTATGGCATGCTGGTTAGCTGGCAATTTAGGAAACCTTTGTTCTTAAGTTGTAATAATAATTATTTACTTAAGTCAAACAGTCCCACATTCTTAATGTCAAAAAAAGAAGAGATTCTTTTGATAAAGATTAATAAGGAAAAATAGATTTTGTAATTATTGCACCTTCACAATGTTTTAAGATTTTTACCTCCCACTGCTATTGACTTGATGCCGATGCATAGTGACCTTAAAGAACAGAATAGAAAGAAACCCATATTGTTTCCAGACTGTACAACTGTACAAAAACAGATTGCCACAGCTTTTTCCACGGGAGCAGCTGGTGGGTTCAAACTGGCAACCTTTTGGTTAGCAGCTAAGAGATTAATCACAGTGTTACCGGGGCTTCTATTTTTAGCTCAGGCCAAGTTCATCCTGAATGTCTGCCAGATTCTAATTAATGTCATGGTCAGTAGCCTGCTTTAGGAATTCAAAAGTTCTCTTAGGTTTTCATTTTTAGAACATCTGAAAATAATTTTCCTGAATTGAAAATACCTTACCCTTTAAATTTTTTTTTTTTTTTTAGTCAGATCTGTATATTGGACACCATGGAGAGAAAATGCTAGAAAGTTTTTGTAAGTGGCAACATGAAGAATTTGGCAAAAAGAATGATATTCATTTAGAGGTGTCAACAAGCTGGATGGAAGATACAACTTCAGTGGATGCAGCTATACTTATAACGAGGTAAAGTTTACAGACAATTAAATGACAGTTGTCATTTTGATGATAGTGCTGTTAATCTCATCAATTCTTTGATATAATAATTTTATTCAAAGTATTGTGCTTCTAGGAATGGATTCATGAACAATTGGGTATTAGACAACATAGAATTAGTTAACTAAAAAACAAAAAATCACTCAATTTTTGATAAATGGCACACCATCAGAAAATTCTGACTCCAGAAGACCATGGAACAACATTTCTAATGTGCTGAAAGAAAACAAAACAAACAGAAAGAAATGTTATTAGCCAATAATTCTTAGAATTATTAAGGATACTTTCTTACTGTAACAAAGATTAAAGTTTAAATCATGCACACACTTTCCCTTCAAAACTAATAACAAGATGATAGCACTCTTTCCACTTGTATTTAATATTGTGCCAAGTACTAGATTTAGTATATAAGGCAGGAGAAGGAAAGGAAAGGTATAAAGATATGGGATAAAGAAGTAAAACTCTCTCTCTTCACAGGTGACATTACTTAGTAAATTGAAAATTTGAAGAAAATCAGTAATACATTGTTAGAGTTTAGAATGGGATTTTTAAGGTTGTAGAATATAAAGTCAATTTATAAAAATCCTTTATGAGACTAGAACACTCTATGTTTTTACATTGCTTGTTTATCAGCTTACGGTTGTTGTTATATATATCGGCAAGAAATCTTTGCAAAATTGAAATAATCCCATTATATACTTAAGGATAAATGTAATAAAATATGTACAAACCATGTGAATTTATAATTATGAAGCATGGTTGAGAGAAACTTAAGAAAATTTAAATAAAATTAACTCACTAAGATGTTACTAAGATATTTATTCTCCTCATTATAGACTCAGTGTAATGAAAATCTGTAGTCTTTTTTGGAGAATTTTTCAAGATGATTCCTATATTTATATGGAAACAAAAGTAAGTGTTGTTGTTGCTGTTAAGTTCTATCAAGTCGGTTCCAACTCATAGCCACCTTGTAAAGGGTTTCCGAGGAGCTACTGGTGAGTTTGAACCGCTGACTTTGCATTCCAGCATGTATCCTACAGTACTACACCAGGACTCACTGAGATGTTTTTCTCCTCATTATAGACTGTGTAATTACAATTAAAATATGCACAGTCTTTTATCAGAAGTTTTCAGGATGATTCCAATATTTACACAGAAACAAAAAAGTACCTAGAAAAGTAAAAACAACCTTGAAAAAAGAAAGAAGTTGGTAGACTTACACTGTCTGAATTCAAAGTTTACTGTAAAGATTCACCAGAAAGTGAGGTTTTAACAAAATGATATACCACAGATCAATAAAACAGAAGAAAATTTTTAGCATTAGATCCACTTACATATGTTCATTCGTCTGTCAGCTTGTTATGCTGTGATGGCTTGTGTTTTGGTATGGTGCTAGAAGCTATGCCATTTTAAATACCAGCATGGTCATCCATGGTGGACAGGTTTCAATGGAACTTCCAGGCTAATAAAGACTTGGAAGGAGAGGTAATCTATTTCTGAATGTTTACACACTGAAAACCTTATAAATAGCAGCAGAACATTGTCAGATATAGTGCCAGAAGGTAAGAGCATTATGAATAGTACCAGAATATTGTCAGATATAGTGCTGGACAATGAGTTGGAAGGCACTCAAAATGACTGGGGAAGAGCAGCTGACTTAAAGTAGAGTTGACCACGATGATTGGAATGGAGTAAAGCTTTCAAGACCTTCATTTGCTGATGGGGCACAGCTCAAAACAAGGAGAAACAACTGAAAACATCCACTAATAATCAAAATATAATATGTATGAAATATGAACCTAGGAAAATTGGAAGTTATCAAAAATGAAATGAAACATATTCCTAGGTCTTGATGAGCTGAAATGGATTGGTATAGTGCTGTTTGAATCAGACA